TAAGCCCAAGAGTTTGAGGTTGCTGTGAGCTGTGACTCCATAGCACTCTACCGACTGAGGACGACATAGTGAGACTGCCTCAAAAAAAAAGAATATTACAGCTGATTCTTGACAGTCTGTACTGCATAAGTATACTCAGATGTGGATTTTTTTCAATACAAGTCACAAGGAGTGTGCCCACCCCTTCAGCCGCCCTTCACCTGACCTACCTCTGCGATCCCTGAGACAGTAAGACAAAGCCCTCCTCTGCTTCCTTCTCAGACTACTCCAGGGGAAGACAGAGATGAGACCTCGGTGATGACCCACTTCCACTTAACAAAAAGGAAATACATTTTATCTTCTTTATGATTTTCTTAATAATATTTTTCTCTAACTTACTTTATTGTATGAATACAGTAGGTAATACATAAAACTTAACAAAATATGTGTTAACTGAATGTTGACTGTTAAAGCTTCCAGTCAACAGTAGGCTATTAGTCATTAAGTTTCTGGGGAGTAAAAAATTCGATGTTGACTTTTGACTATTGTTGGGGGGTGGACAGTGCTAACAATAAGGGTCAACTGTACTAGCTTCTTTACCCACTAATATATCTTTTCTTTGTTAATCAGAACCAGAATTTTGAGATGCTTCTGGATTCTAAAGTGAATGATTCCCTCTACATCGGTGTCCTGGATCTTTGCTCCAAGTTGGAAAGATGAAGATGAGCAGGACATATCTCAACTCCAGAAACAATTCATCTTCTTCCTCCTTCTTCCAAAGGAAGAATGGAAAGTTGACAGGTGGAGACGCATTGGTACAGAAATGGTGCTGACCCCAACCTAAGCTCTCATCTATCCTGCCTGCTCCTCCTCTTCCTCCGCCTGCTCCTCCTCTTCCTCCGCCTGCTCCTCCTCTTCCTCCACTTGCTCCTCTCGGCTCCTCAGGTACTCAAACTACTCTCTCAAGACACCTACTGGGACTGTCTATGCATCTAAATCATGGACAGCAAAACCTTGCCCGGAAATTTTCTTTTCTTTTCAGTCTCACCTTGTCAGCCTGGCTAGAGTGCCATGGCGGCATAGCTCACAGCAACCTCAAACTCCAAGGCTCAAGCAATCCTCCTGTCTTTCTCAGGCTGTCTTAAACTCCCATGTTCAAGCAATCCACCTACCTCAGCCTCCCAGAGTGCTAGGATTACAGGTGTGAGCCAGTGCACTCAGTCTGCCTGGAAATTTTCAAAGCAGAAACTTAAACAACTTAAAGCTTTATACACAATTTGGACACAAGTACCTAGTTTATTCCTTACTTAGAGTCTCCACAGCTGAAAAATTGTTCAAATAATACTTTTTTCTTTTGGAGACAGAGTCTCACCTGTTATCCTGCGGTTGAGTGCTATGGCATCATAGCTCACAGCAACCTCAAACTCCTGGGCTTAAGAGATTCTCTTGCCTCAGCCTCCCAAGTAGCTGGGACTACAGGTGCCCACCACAACATCTGGCTATTTTTAGAGATGGGGTCTTGCTCTGGCTTAGACTGGTCTTGAACTCATGAGCTCAGGCGGTCCATCTGGCTCAGCCTCCCAGAGTGTTAGGATGATAGGCATGAGCCACCACGCCCGGCCCAATAACATCACTTTCTGTTTTTTGGAAGGGTGATTTTTTTTTTTTTTTTTTGGTGGTAAACATTTTTAACATACAACTTAATGCTTTAACTATCTTTAAGTGGACAGTTCAACAGCATTAAGTACATTCACACAGTCGTGCAACCATCACTACCAACTACCACCAGAACCTTGTCATAATTCCACACTGTAACTGTGCCCACTGAACACCACCTCCCCATTCCCTCTCCTCCAGCCCCTGGCAACCGGTATTCTACGTTCTGTCTCTGTGTATCTGACTCATCTAAAATGCCACTCTTTGTGCTGCTGAGTGATCCTTGTGTCAATGACAAAAGGTTTAACATTTCTGGCAATTTTCCAAGTGACTTTTTCAGTAATCAGGTAAACTGAGATGGGGTAAACATAACCGGGATCCTAATTTTTTAAAATAACTTTTTGTGACAAGACAATGACTGTGTTGCCTGTTAACTACCATTACCCAAAAGGCTTCAAACCACTGATGTGTAAGGCACAGAACAGGGTAATCGTGTGCAGGTTACGGAACTCCACAGGGAGTTCAATAACAGAACAATAAAAGAGTGTGGCCTGTCCAGTTTCGCAGCATGCTGAGTCCACTCCGCACACCGGCAGGACTACCCTGCGTTTCACTGCACGTAAGCTCTACCACAGGTCCGCTGGGGGCTTGCCTGGCCTCACTCCTGCCCAGCTTTCCCCACACCTTCACTCTTCTACTGCTCCTCACGGAAATAAGGACGTGGAACTGTCGTCTTTAGGGCCATGTGCCAAGGAGGAGAGGCGAGGGCTCGACCCCGTGCCAGCTTGTCACTAAGCAGTGCTACTCACTTCATCAGCTTCTGCTTTGTGGCAGAGTCTTTGAAGCTTCTGAACTCCTCTCCTGCTTTGATCTCATAAAACTGGGGTGTGAGGACCGTCTGCTGGTCCTCCTTGAGCCGCTCCTGCCGCTTCAGTTTTTCCTCCTGCTGGAGCAGTCTGCGCTGCTTCCTGACCTCCTCAACCCAGCCTTTTTCATCATCTGAACTCTCCGAACTTTCTGCATCGCTTGGTTTTCCTTCCAGTTCTTCCTCCTCTTCCTGAAAATAAAAATAGTAAGCAGCAGCTCTTTTCCCCCAACCACACCGGCACATTATTTTCTTTCAAGCAACATTAGCTCATCAGGGTATGTGACAGCTTCTCCTCTGTGTGCATTGGAAGAAATGCCTTTAAACAAGATGTACTTCTGAGCCAAATGACAATTAATATGCAGTTAATTACATCAAGCAAAATCAAAGATTCTTCTAAATTACACAGAAAACTTTATACTGAGGAAACAGTAGCAAACCCTAAACAATAAGGACCACATTACTTTGTCATGATGTTCTTGTTGCTCTAAGAGTCTTAGTTTCTTCTTTCTTTTCTCACTTATTTTCGAAACAAGTGGATTCAAAAGCCTAAACTCTTCACTCTCTTCATCCACTTGGAAGTCAGGGTTCTCAAACATAACTTTAAATCGATCATCGGTGAGAATGTTAGGAAGGCTCTGGAAGAAAAAGAGGGGAAAGTATGTAAAAATGTAAGTTAACAGCTGAATAAAATCTGACCAGAAAAAGGGTTTAAAAACATCCATCCTATTACAAATTAATAAGCTGCATGAAGCATAAATTATTAACTCATTATGAAATTTCCTTAGAATGAGTTTCCACAACTTTCTAATTGCCCATGGATTTTTATCTCCCACAGACAAAACATATTCTATTCATCTACTCTGCAGATGAACTACATTTCTTGGCCATTACACACATTAAGCTAAGAAAGAACCTTTTTGGCTAACATTATGTTTAACACATTAGAAAGAATTTTCTTTAACATTTTTAATGTAAAAAATACATTTCAAGAAAATATATCTGAAGCTACGATGACCTAACAAACAAAATACAAAGCATAATTTTTTGAAACACGGCTTTTAAAGCATAGCCATCATACTGATTTAAAGTGAGGGATTCCTTCAACTTCATATCCCTATGCTGGGAGAAGTATGCACAGATGCAATAATGACCGTGGTAGGGTAGAGGGGGCCTGATGGTGGAAGGTTACTAACCCCACCTGAGTTATTCGGCAGCATAAGGGATGTTTCTGTCCATTATAAGATAGATTCAACAATTTTCTTCCCCAGGCCATGTAACTGTCCTCAAAGGATCCTTCATATAATAAAACTTTTGGCTAACAGGACACATTTGCATAGCTCAGGACTGGCAACAAATTCCTTTTTATTTGTACCACTTTTGAACAAAAAAGTTTTCTAAAACATATTGCAAACTTATGTGTTCATGAAACATATGACAGAGAATCTTACAAACTCAGGACTCTCTATTGTTCTTTATCTACTACAGGTCTGCACACCAGAGAAAACAATCTACTTAGAATGGCTTTCAAATCAAAGTAAATAGGCTGAGCATAGCTGGAAAAAGCTAACACGTTTGTGACAGACTCTGGTGCTACACAACAGACCTGATCTTACTATTCCTCTACTACTGAAAGTAAAGGTTTCAGGAGGGTGACTTCTGAATACTGTATTTGTGTGCCAGAGCTATATAAAAACCTGGCAAATCATAAGACATTAAGGAACTTGGCCTATTAATTACTTGTTTGTACCTTAAAATCAATTAATCCTTACCTAAAATTCTATGAGATTTTGAATTCAACAAGTCTTCTCTGACTAAATGTCATTTCTAAGACAAGACTCAGAGAAGAAAGACAAGATCAAGTTGATCCTTATCTAGCAAAGAAGAAGAAAAACACACAGGATGCTATCGGGAACCTTTGGAAGGCTCCTCAACCAAGTTGAAGGTGCCATAGGAGCAAGGCAAGGTCATCCCAACAAGGGACATCCCAGCAAGGGCATGTGGACACGGCATCTGGGAGGAGGCTTGAAAGATGAGTAAGTTTCAACAGGTACAAATCTGAAGAAAGATCATCTCCATCTGACTGAGGGCCTCAGAAAAATGGCTCAATTTGCAAAATCATCAGGCCAGACTGTAAAGGATTTTAAATACTATGACTGTCACTCTGAAGGCAAAGGGAAGCCACGAGAGAGTGGGAAGAGTAAGATGAACAGAAACAGAGTTGTTACTCTCCAGTAACAACTAGAACTGAGTTTCGAAAGCCCACTGCCGGGGTGCCAGACGGACTGTTGAGGGAGAAGCCAGCAACACCAGAAGACTAAGAAGCCATTTTAGGAAACTGGCAAAGAGATAGGCCCTGAATTAGGGCAATGGGAATATAAAAACACTAACAAGTACTTTTTCGGAAATAACGTTTATAAGATACACTTCTAAATTTAGAATTGATAGATCCAGTTATGGATGAGATGTGAGGGTTAAGAGTTAAAAATAGGCCGGGCGTGATGGCTCATGCCTGTAATCCTAAGCACTCTGGGAGGCCGAGGTGGGTGGACTGCCTGAGCTCAGGAGTTAGAAACCAGCCTGAGCAAGAGCAAGACCCCGTCTCTAAAAATCAGTCAGGCATTGTGGCGGGCGTCTATAGTCCCAGCTACTCAGGAGGCTGGGGCAAGAGCATCTCTTGAGCCCAAGAGTTTGAGGTTGCTGTGAGCTATACTGCCACAGTCATCACCCCCAGGGTAACTGAGTGAGACTCTGTCTCAAAAAAAAAAAAAGAAAGAAAGAAAGAAAGAAAGAAAAGAAAAGAAAAAAGAGTTAAAAACAAGGTTAGAAACTTCTCAAGCATGCATTCAGTTCCACTGACTCTATAGAAAGCTGCTGGTGGCATGAGCTGGGGTCCCTTGTTGGCAAGGATTAGAAAAATAGGCAGGGGTGGAGTAAAGGGTGAGAGGCCACCTGCCACCTAAGAGTGCTTACGCCTGTGGCACAAGGAAAACGGCGCCAGGATTCTGAGGGACACTGTTAGGTGTCAGGAAATGACACAGCAGGTCTCCAGAGAGAAAGGCCACTACAGTGCAAGTTTTGGAATCACCCATAAATATGGGATGGGTGATATTGCCAAAGAACCAGATATTTTCAAATGAGTAGCTATGTGCATCGTATATATTTTCAGGCAAAAAAAAAAAAAAAAAATCCAAGAGTAAATTTTTCCATTTTATTTATATTTATTAAAGTAATAACCATATTTTAATGAATAACAAAGAAATGTTAAAAAGAATTATGTTGCTGGTATTCTTCAGATTTTTTTTCTTAATTTAAAACACATTGGCCAGGCATGGTGGCTCATGCCTATAATCCTAGCACTCTGGGAGGCTGAGGCGGATGGACTGCTTGAGCTCATGAGTTCGAGACTAGCCTGAACAAAAAGGCTAAAAATAGAAAAAAGGCTAAAAATAGTAAAAGGGCTAAAAAAAAAAAAAAGGCCCCATCTCTACTAAAAATAGAAAAAACTGAGGCAAGAGGACCGCTTGAGCCCAAGAGTTGGAGGTTGCTGTGAGCTATGATGACGCCATGGCATTCACAGAGCAACAGCTTGAGACTCAGTCTCAAAAACACAAAAAACAAACACATTGTATTTCCTAAAGACATGTACTAGATGAACATTATAAAATAAAAACTCTTCTGACATAGGTGTAAAAATATTTCCCCCAGGGATTTCTCCTAGTCTAATTGTTTGTTTTCACAACTGCCTTTATAAAAAAAGTAGGCTAAGGCACAGCTAGTAATGTTCTAGAGTAGTTTACAAGTGTCTGGCTAGTGATCTGACCTACAAACAACATGCTCAACACCTCGCCACACACCATTAACACGTGGAAAACACCTGAAGTATGTATAAAACCCCGCCTCAAAGAGTTTTGTTTATCTGATTGAGATCTTTATCATTAATATTTTTCCCAACAGAGTAGCATCTACGAGGAATGCTTGCCATTTCAAACAAATTAATTCTTTCAATGATGTGGCTATCTATGAAATTAAGTTGGTACAGACTACTGAGTTCAGACAGTTGCTTGAACATAAGCAATTTCCTTCTAAATCTCTCCTTAAAGCCCACCACAACAATAGGAAAGGGGCTTTTAAAAAAGAACACAAACCCTTAAGGATGAGGAAGAAAGGAAACAGAGGCAATAACAATTTGGAAGCAAGAGAGGAAGTCTACATAAAGTTCCATCCCCAGTTCTGGAAAGCCTAGCTGCCCCCTGTTCCCCCTGGAGAATGGAGAGGAAGGGGACCCCCAGCACTGCAGAAGCAAGGGAAGCTTGTGGTAACGGAGAGGACGTGAAGGCTGGCACTCGAGCATGGGGTGCACCCCACTGCTCCTCAGACACCCCCAACTCTCGATGTCTAGAGTAGACAGTTCTCAGAATGCTGGTAGCCAGGCCTTCTCCAGACCAGCCAGATGAAGACCTGAAAAATAATATTTTCAGCTTCCTCAAACAGACAGTTTGGCCAAGTTACCAGAGAGAGACTGAGGGACCTGTTCCTACCGGCTTTCATTCAGCTTTTTAATGCCCATACTTTTATAATCATGAACGAATAAGCAAGGATCATGGCAGGAAAAACCAATGAAGACTTTTTTTTTTCCTAGAAAATTCTCCATCACTAAAGATCTAAGTTTCTAAAAAGAGTCATTAGTATATAGGCCAGATTTCTAGATTAAAAATGGGCCCACAGCACAGCACAGTCTTCCCATGTGAGATTTCCTTGGACACTTCCTCTTTCTGGCCTTACTGTCTTAATTTAGAGGAGCAAACCCTTTAGCAACTTCCTGAGATAAGTAGCATGTCAGAGTACTAGTTGGTTGTTGAGAATTTGCATGTTGGAAAATATCTTTACCACACACCCTCACGTTGCCTCACTGCTTGTCCAGCTAGAAAATACTAAGTTGGAAACTATATTCCTTCAAGAAACTAAAGGTTCTTAAAATTCTTTATCTAGTATGGAGTGAACCCTCAGGACAATGGTAAAGGGAGATTCCAGGGTCTGAAGATAACCAGTTCAGAACAGGAAAAGGCAGAAAGGTCTCGAATCCACTTCTTTAGGAAGGTAAATAAGTATAAAGTCTGATCTATATAAATACCTCAAAATGAGACTTAGACAAAAGGTAAAGAAAGGGTAATTAATAACTGCTTAGAAAACAAACAAAAGAGACAATTATTAACTCCAGAGGAAATAAAGGTTGTACAAGAATTGCAGTCACAGATTACCATGGACCCTGACTTGGCTTGTAAATAGCATTTGCCTGGTTATAACCATGTAAACGCTGAATACTGACCTAACTGAAATTACTATATAGCTTCTTTGGGTGGGAAGGTTATCCATACAATGCCTAACACCAAAAAGTTAAGAAGGGATACTACCGGCAATATTAACAGAAAGTTTTATATATAAAAAAAAAAATCAGGCCAGGCGCAGTGGCTCACATTGGTAATCCTAGCACTCTGGGAGGCTGAGGTGGATGGAATGCCTGAGCTCACAGGTGTGAGACCAGCCTGAGCCAGAGCGAGACTCCATCTCGAAAAATAGCTGGGAGTTGTGTTGGGCACCTGTAGTCCCAGCTACTTAGGAGGCTTAGGCAAGGGAA